GTTGGATATCCATATATTGGATATATTGAATATCCACAAAATATATTCTGTGGATATCTCTGGGATTTCTTGTATTTTCTGGAAGATACCATTAGATATTTTGCTGAATATCCATTAGGATATCTTCTATATATTCTGGATATAGACGGACATTTGGATATCCATATTAGATCCACGGAATATTTTCGATATCCTGTGGATATATTGGATATCCACAAAAGATATTCTGTGGATATTTCTGGGATTCGGTGTGTTGTCTGGGACCTACTTGAAAATTTTGCTATAAAAAAACGATTTTAGCCAAAATGTTTTCCCCAAAAAACTATAAAACTTTCGTCTGAAACGGTTTTTTATAATAGGCGGTATTTAACTGTAACACCCGGTATATATTTAAATGTCTTTTTTAGTCTAATAGAAAATATTAAAGTGTAATATATTGCATTCAAAAGCTATTTTTATATTCCAGAAATATTTTAGAAACGTTTCTATACGTTTTATAATAATTATTTACGAAACAACACTAGAATATATTTCTGAAATATTACTGTAGTTATATTTCTGAAAGTTTTAAAAGTTTTATTTCTGAAAGATTACTATAAAATATTACATTTACAGGACTTTTTACATTTAACGAACATTTCAGAAATGTTTCTGAGACGTTTCGTAATATTTATGCAACATTACAAATATTTTGAAATATTTCCGAAATGATTTTGGGCTTATCGTTGCATTTAAAGCGCTCAATATTCTCGTGACACATAACATCGCGAAATATTCCCTGTGGCGAGCATATGCCTTATAATTTTATTTCAGAAAATCAATCTTCACAACATTTTTGCTTTTCGCAAGATGTCCGATTTGCTTTTAATATGATTTTGTTTATATTAATATGGGATACATACTGTATATAATGTAAATTGTGAATCATAATATGTCATACCTAGTAATGATTGACACCCTTCGTAAATTAAATAATATTTTTCTGTATTAAAATCTCGTGTTTAGATAAAAGTATAATAGTGTTTCATTATAAGGTCTTCATAAATATGTAGTCTGATTTATTCTAGTTTTCTCTCTATTTATATTTACAAAAATGAGCCGTGAAAAGTTCATAACTGTTTAAAGGCGATAAAAATGTAATCATTGACACAAGCCTCCGTGGCGCAATTGGCTAGCGCGTTCGGCTGTTAACCGAAAGGTTGGTGGTTCGAGCCCACCCGGGGGCGCATTTTTTTTTTAATATTTTTTTATATTTTTTAACGCATTTTTTTTTAATTTTAAAATAAGCAAATTTAAAATAAAGAAACCATTTAAAATAATATTTATATTTTTTTAATAATATGCTTGCATCAAAATGGAAAAGTTACCTTACATTTCACAAAAAAAATTTATCGTTAAAAAGTTCTGCATCACCTGGGAATCCATAATCAAGTATTGCATTTTGTAAAATATAGGTAGTATACAGAGAAAATAAATATAATAACTTAATAGTACGTCCTTTTTACAAGGTGGGTCCAGTTATATCCCCGCGGAAAGTGGCGCCTAAACTAAATGAAACAAAAATTCCCATAACTAGAAAATAGTATAATTTATACAGAGTATGAAAAATATTGGTGACATTTTTAATAAAAATACCCTGTATATTTTACATTTTTAGATTGATATTTTAGAGTCCTTTGTTTTTCCAAATCTAATACTGCCTTGCCAGGTTATTTTATTTTTTATTACATTTTCTGAAAAATCGGCACATTTCAAAAATATTCAAACACATGTATTCTACGAATTTAAAAAATAAACTTACCTCGTTCATATTTCATAATTACTTTAATAAGTATAGGGTGTTCATAGCATAACATAACATTTTCGGAAATTTAGACATAAAAAAATTAAGCTTTTTAAAAATGAAACGACGCTCTGTATATTTTCAATATTTTAAAAGCTTTTTCCACAAGCTTTCTTAGTATGTTTTAGGATTAAATTGAATTGTTTCGAAGTTTTTGATCGAAAAGTTCATTTAGCTTGAACATAAAAATTATTATTAATAATTACTTATTACCTGGGCCCTGTATATAAATAGTCTTGTGAATTTAGGGACTTTGTTCGCCAGCATATTGCTCGATATTGTGAACAAGTTATCCTGGAAATAGTAGATATATACAGCATCGGCTATCGAACACTTTCCACAAGTGCGTGTGAAAACTACAGCATTAGAACGAGCAGAAAACGAATATTATCAGCGATGCCAGTTTATACGGCCCAGCCAACGCCAACGTTACAACGCGGTATTAACTGGCAGCGCTCATATTATTCGTTTTCTGTTCGCTCAAATACTAACTCTATGTAGTTTTTCCATGCACTTGTTTAAAGCGAATTAGAAAACGTTGCCGACACTGTATGTATTCACAATAGAGTTCCCACCGTTGCTAATGAAAGATGTGTCGAAAGAATGACGAATGAAGACTATATAAATATATTAATCATTTTTCGTATCACATATTATTTACTAAAAGGATATTTGTAACATTTATTAATATTAAAAACTACCGTGTATTACTTTTCTCCTATTTGAATATGTTTAACAACTTCCTGTTTTAACTTAGATTCTCATAGACTTAAACTTTTGTTATGTAAATTCTTATTTTTCAGAGTATAACACAAGTATTTGTAATGCAAAATATATATGAAAATGGTAAATATACGATGCAGTAACATCACAGGTTCGGTTTTAGGAGCTATGTTTTTCTTTAGAAAAATTTTAGATCTGAATTTTTAAATATATTGTTACCTCATTTCCACTTTTATCAGAAAAAATTACACTTTGTATAGCAGACTGCAATATTATAACGTGGAAGCATTTGTAAGACTTCATCAGAACATTGAGAAAAATAAAAAATATTTTGTGTACCTTTCAATAACATTTTATTTATATATTTTCCTTTTACAGGCCATGGTTCAGCGAGATGAGTAATAAGGTAAGATAGAATTAGAGAGTATGGACAGAGGATTTATAAAAAGTAATTTGGATGTCTTATGATATTTTGAGAATGCTAAATTAAGTTTTTAGCAAGTGTATACGTAACAATAATTTAACTAAATTTTTCAAATAATTGTCATGTTTATTTGTTTGTTTACTATCTAAATTTTTAACCTCAATTCACATCCTCACCTTGTATTCTTGTATTCTTATTGATCTGCATACTATGTACTAAAATTGGTTTGAATTATTATTTATCTTTTTTACTTTCCTTTTCGATCTCGAGTGTTTGCCGGATTTTTACGTTTTCGAGTACCCTGCATCCGTTTTGACTATTTTCCCGATGATATCTGTATACTCGATAATTTATGAATGGATAAACAGAACAACACCAAATTGTAACACTTTGACGACCGACACCCTTACTATGTAATTATCTCAAAAAACCATGCAAGAGGTGAATACTGCTTAAAAATATTATTATTTATGGGTTGCATAGCTAACATATCAAAAGTTTTTGCCACCCAAAATCTTCCAAAATACCGTCCAGTTATCTGGACGTCGGTATCAAGAAGAAAATTTCAGTATGAAACCACCAATAATGGACAAAATTTTATATTTATCTGGCCCAAGAATGTGATTTACGAAAAAAACTGGACGCCGCTTGGCTCCAAAATGAACCTTTCCTTCAAAAGAAAAATTCGTCAAAATTGCTCCATAATTAAAAAAACTATGAGGGTAGCCCAAATAGGTCTCTGTGGAAAAAGCTTATAAAAACTAGACATGAAAGTCATGTGTTGGCCAAATCAGATTTTTGTAACATAAATCTATCAAGAAGTAACTTTTATTTTTATCTATATCACCAAAAAGCTATATGGTTGTTCAAAATTAGTAGAATATTAAAATAAATATTTTAGTATTAAAAAATTAAAAAACAACGACGAAAGACCAATTTTATTTACAAAAACCGAATTGCAAGCATTCACAGTGTTATCAAGTAATTGCCAAATTATTATGAGAGAGTCTTGTTTATGGTTTAAATTCAGAATTTACTTAACATAAAAACTGAAAATTTACCAAAAAAGTAGAAATCTACTAAATCTGGCAACGTTGGATCAAAGGCCATTAGTCCGATTGACCTGACCAAGCGAAGTTAACTGCCATGTCGTAATCTACGTGCGATGCACAAAATGGAGCTAAAACAGCGTAGTTTAAACGGGCACACTGTTTAAAGGATCTGTTAACCTCTCTTTTTAACTACAGGCATTCGCGGAAACTTCTCGCGTTCAATCAGCATATTATGGCACGGGCAGACGCGACCTGCCAAAGCGCGGTAGCGTACCAAAAAATAGAGATTAACACGCACGAAAATAATAAAAATATAAAAATTTATATTTTTATGTTATGTGATTTTAAAATAATGTGTTTTCATGAAATTTAACTGTGTGCACAAATGAACCAATAAAAACCATGGTATATGTTCGGCCGCGAAATGGCGGGATTTTCAAAAATACATTCATTCGTATTGGCAATAATTGAGAAGTATATTGTATAATGTGTCATTAAACGACTTGTTGATCCAGGCGCTATTTTTATTTGGATTGCTATAAAAACATAATTATTAAATAGAGCACCAAAACGTTCAATTAAGTGTACGGTCTCTACTATTTCATAGGGACAGTATTTGCTCTTTCCTAAAGGATAACAGTTTTTTAAATTAGACAAAAGTTGCGAAGTTTTGGGCGCATTAAAATGGTACAAGAAATCTTTGATATCTACAGGAAGATTCAAAATATCGGACAAAAATGAATGAATTTAAAGAAATGACAATTTTCACTTTTTATCCAATATTTTGAATCTCGATGCAGATGTTAGGTTTCTTGGCACCATTTTAATAAGCACAAAACTTCGCAACTTTTGTCTAATTTAACCAACTTTCTATCTAATAAAAATACTGTCACCTATGAAATATAGTATACAGTCAACGCAACCCAGAAAATACGAAATTTTTCATATTTTTAATTTTTCTAATCAACTGAAAGTAGGTATTTTGAATAATGAAAACTAATAAAATTCAAAAATGAATTAGGCGACTTCTTTCTCTTTAGCTAAAGATTTCTTCTGTAAAAAATGTGCCTTTTCTAATAGTTCGAATCCTAATTTGCCATAGCAATCTTGAAAACTTGACATTGGTATGTAAATATCCGATTTAGGAAGGTATCCAAAAACTAAAAATAAATCATTTACATGTTTTTGATTTCTTTAAAAATGTACGTATGTATACATATATTAAAAAAAATCTGTATAATGTGGAGATGATCACACTATTTCAAAGGTATAGAAGATATAAAGTTGGTTAAATGGGGAAAAAGTTACGTATAAAGCAAATAAAATAAAATAAATATTTTGAGAGTTATTGTTCAGTTTTTGTCTATATAATAAAGAGTAAAAGTGATAAATATAGGTACTTACTATTTCTTGATGATTGAAGTGGCTGTATAAGTTTAATTTGATCTCTGTTCTTCTGATAAACAGGTCTGAACGTATCTATTAAATGAAATTCTCCCAGCTCTTTAGGCTTATCAGAATTTTCTTCTATAATTACTAAAAATGACTCATTAAAAACAAAATTCTTATTAAGGAAGAAAAATACTTGGTGGTGTCCAGTCTCGACAATAATCAAATTTGTACGTAGATGTTGATACTCTTCTAATATGCTGATTTTTAACAGCTATCTCTATTTTATGAAAATCTTCCTACAATAATATTATTTTTGATATTTAAGAAAACACACAAGAATATACATATTTGGAAAAATCTTTAACCACGTAGAAAAATAGTAGCTAACACAATAAAATACTTACACTATATGAAAAATATTATTTATTTTTACTTACATCATGTTTTTGGTCTTTACTGTTATACCAATCTTTTCCGTAACAGTCTGGGTAATATCTTTCTTGACGTATGCTGAAAAATTAAACGAATAACTGAAGTACTCTTTAAAATATGCTATTGTAGGTACGTACAGTGGGAAAGCAGCTTGCGGGGTATATCTGTAACAATTTTGAATAGTAGTCACAAAAGCTTGAGCCATTTAGAATAGGTATTTCAAATTTAATTTGACAAAAATGTTTATCTGTCATATGAGGTTTACAGATCAATTAGTTTTTCCCTTTCCGCAGTTCAATAATATCGCAGAACATATACAAACTGGAACTGACACTAAAATATCATTGTTTTTGTGTCAGCAACTTTTTTTGACTTTGACGCCTAACATTAAGAACTGTTTTCTCCTCTCCTTTTTTTCTCCTTGTGGAGAAATAAATCATAAACATTTATACAGTGTGTTGCAAAAAGTTTACACCACAACAAAAACGTTTTTGTTGTTAAATTCTTAGTATATTTTATTGATGATAAAAGTTGGTGCATCCCCACGGTTCGTAGACAACATGGTGGCCTCATCACGGTTGCTAAGGACGCAGTGACGTCACAGAATGATAAAGTGAGTTGACAAAAATATTTTACTTGGTATATCTTACATCAGTTTTTTAAAAAATGTAATATTTTATTGTTATTAAGTGGTGTTTATATTTTTTTTTTAACTTTGTTCTGGTGTTAGAGTTTTTGTAATATCGGTAGTTTGACCTACAAAACAGCAAGGAAAAATCATGTAATGATTTCCATCAAACTTTTTATTTGAATTATAAAGAGAAATATGATTGTTGTGAATGGTTTATTTTAAATGTTTTGGGTTAGGGTACAGCTTCCGAGCTGAATTCGGATCACCCTTTGTTTATATCACGAAATATTTTAAAATTTTGGCAAGCCTGGAGCGGGTCGTAGTATCGCTATTGGCAAACAATTTTTCCTTTTTACAAACAAAAAATACTTGTGGCACTCGGGGACTGCCGCGGTAAAGCTATTGCATAGCATTTTTTATCAACTTATACAATTATAATTATTTATTTATTTTATTTATGCAGTATTTTTATTTCTTTGATATTAATTAAAGTTTTTTCTTTGACATTAATTCAAGTTACACTTTTTGAGCGTGCTGACCGATAAGAAAACTATTTTTTTTCTTTTATTGAATAAATATTGTTTAAAATATTTTTATTATTTTACAATACATGTAGGTTATTCAGGAATTTGTATCATTGAAACTATAGGTTTATGGTAACTAAACTAAGAAACATAAGTTTAAGACTTGATATCCTCTAAATATCTGGAAAATACCGCGTCAATGGTGGTCCCATATTTTGTTGTGGATTCTTGTGGATTATTATTCATTTTCAAATTCAATTTTTCCGAAATTGTGTCTAAAAGAGATAGAATCAGTTAGCAGCTAGTCTACACGCATACGTCTAGTCGCACGCACAAAAACACCGTGCCGAAGTCTGCCGAACTGTAACGACGTTAGACGATGCACGACTTTCAACGCCGCACCGCTGAGCCGGTCGGAGTGAAGGGTATTAGGTTTATTTTCGTTACGGAAATTTTGTTTCGAATTTTTGATTTTTCGATTTTTTATATATATACTACTACTACTACTATATTTATTTAAGGATTTTTTTATAAAACCGATTTATTATATTGATTTTTTTTAAATTTCAGTTCATTTATTAATTTTGTTTTAAAATCAGTTGATCATTTGGCAACATTGGCGTTCGTGTTCATTGTTTACATATTAATTTGTATCAATTACAATTCGAGTTTTTTTCTTACTTTTTAGCTTTAAATTTGTTTATTTCTTATAGTATGTGATAGTGTTTATATTAAAAATGAAATCTGCGAAAACGTCCCCAGAAAATTGCAATCTATATGGTGTTAATGTCAAAATCAAAACTGAAGTAATCAATATTTTCCAAGTGCAAGTCGTAAAATTTTGTTTTTTACGATAAATGAATATCTACAAATTCACAATATTGAAATTTTACAAAACTTTGTTTAGAATCAAACTAATCTGATTTGTGACGGTTTTATTACCATTTACATGTATACAAAGTACTACATACTTCATAATATAAGAATAAGTCTAGTAAGATTTTTAAATAAGTTCATCAATAATAAACGTGTGGTACCTGAAATGTCCTTTAAACCACATAATAAAACATGTCCTGGGTTTAGTGAATACATATTTCTAGATGTTCTTGTAGCAACCAATAGGTAAATATTTCCAACAAATAAGTCATACACATGATAAATATTATATTTATGACGAAAGCACGAGACTTAAACTTAAATTAACACTAAATGAAACTCAAAAACACTATTACAATGAGAATATCTAAAAACAGTTAAAACAATCACAAATACAAAATCCGCCCAACACAAAAACTTGTAAATAAACAAACATCCTACTGTTGTGACAAATGAAAGGCGCGCGAAAATTAATTTGAATCGCCAATAGGTGTCAAATTAGAGAAAAACAGCTCCATATACATTCAATTTCTGAACGCTCTATACAGGGTGTTATTGAAATACACGTACATATTAAAATGGGGAATAGTATGTAATGACCAAAAACGATTGGCACCAATTTTAACTTCAAATTCTAAAATTTAAATATTGGGGAAGAGTCCACTTTTCCGACCTACTAGTTTCCATATTTAAAGAAGTAAAATAAATCGAAATTGAACTTACCCATAGAAATTGCACTGTTGCCGTAGCAAAACCAATTAATTCAAAATAAAGTTTATTACAGTAATTGTTCAAAATGCCGTCCATTATTATTTACACACACTTGCAATCGTCTTTCCAAAGAACTTTGAACATTAGAAATTAGTCTTGGATTTTGTCGTAGTTCCTCGGCTACCGCATTAACTTTATTGGTTAATTGTTCAACACTATTAATAGGTTCATTATAAACCAGTTGTTTCATGTGACCCCACAAAAAGAAATCGCATGGATTTAAGTCCGGAGATCTCAGAGGCCACTTAGTAGGTCCATTTCTGCCTATCCACTTTTGAGGAAATCTAATGTTCAAAAACTGCCGTACGTTTAAATCAAAGTGAGGAGGAGCGCCATCTAGTAGGTACCACATCCGCTGCCTTAATTGTAACGGTATCTCTTTTAGGAGTACTGGCAAAATATCTTCTAAAAAGTGGAGATATCCTGGCCCATTTAATCTGTTCGGGAGAACATAAGGCCCGATTAAATACTGATCTATTATGCCAGCCCAAACATTTATTGAAAATTTTCTTTGATGCCCAGTTTCCCTAATGGCGTGAGGATTTTCATCACTCCAAATATGCGTATTGTGCATATTGAACACGCCATCACGAGTGAATGAAGCCTCGTCAGTATACAATAATATTTTTAGAAAATCAGGAATATCAACACATTTTTGAATCATCCATTCACAAAACTCCACTCTCTTTTCTTCATCACCTGGATATAAGGCCTGGACTTTTTGGATGTGATAAGGATGTAAACCTTGTTCTTTTTGTTCTTTAAGTGTCCGCCACACAACAAATGAGGACACTCCAATTTCAAGACCTAGTCTTCTACAACTTAATTGAGGCCGGTTTTCAACAGCTTCCAATATTTCTTCTTCGGCCGCCAATGTTCTTTGTGTTCTTGTTCTCCCTCGATCTGCATTGACACTCTCAAATTTTCCATGGTCTCTTAGATGCTGAACAGTTGAAATAAACGTACGACAGTCCGGAATTCTCCGATTTGGAAACCGTTCGCGATACAGGATTTGTGCTTGCCGAGAATTTTCTCCAGCTGCCCCATAAACCAGCACTATATCCGTTAGTTCAATATTCGTAAATAGTGGCATCGTAAAAAAATATTTAAAAGTAATCGTAACAACACTTTTTACCAACTTGGAAATGACGCGCTCGTGTTAGCCAGATTCGTAAATCAACTAAAATTTTAATAATCTATAGTTTCAAAAATGTATAGTTTAAAAACAATCATTTATCAAATATTCTAGTTTTTTGATAACGAGGGTAGTAAAAACCAGTCTTCGGAAATAGAAATTAATTCGAAAATCTTGGCAACATGGTTATTTCTTACAAGACTAGTTTTCTTATCATCTGACAAAAACTTGCATATTAATTACTGTTGATGTTTAAAATAGGTAAATAAACCTAATTTATATAGGTCATCCTCAACATATCAGTGAAGTACGTTTGTTTTAGAATTAATTTTCAAAAATTAATAACTCCCTTAATAAGGGGTATTTTTAAAAAATAATATTTTTCTACATTCAGTGGGGATCTGCGCAATACCCAGTTTTAATATGTACATGTATTTCAATAACACCCTGTATATGTGCTCCATTCTGCATATCTTTTTTTCGCAATATTTAATTTCCATTCAGAATGATTACTTTTACAAATAAAATTTATCTCAAAATCCCCACTACTTTTTCCATACACTCTACATTGAGAAAATAACCCCAGCTAAACAGTTTATCTGAAAATTATTATTTGGAACAGTTAAAAAATGATCTGTAATATTTAATTTTTTTTATTTGGTACAGTAAAACGCGTAACAATTTCAGATAAATGAAAAATTTTGAAAGCGCCAGCTGTCTCAAGTTGAATGTTTATCTGTATCTGGTAAATTGGTTTTGTTCATTGCTTTTTAGACGAACATTACAACTAAAACTACATGTAACTAACTTTTTACTTTCCTGTCTACAGAAAGTATAAAAATCAAGATTTGTTCGACGGATTTTTACGTTTTGGTGTACCCTGAATCCATTTTGACTATTTTCCCGATGATATATATGTGTGTAATAATTCATGAACGGATAAAGAGAAAAAAAATTAAATTTAAACTTTAATCCATCTTGCGGTGATTATATTTTGGAAATAGTCGGATCATCTTGGGTACTTTATAAGGGCTCATTTCTCTACTTTAAGGAATATATCTGTAATTTATGCTTGAAGAAGAAAATTGTTCTAATAAAAGTTGCTTGTAATCTCAGTTTCTATAATTTTTTATTTTGTGAATTTATTTAGTTATAGTTTTATTTTGGTTATATGTACAAATATGTATGATCTATTTATTTCAGAATAAAACAGTGAGTTACGAAACACTTCTTTAAATTGAGAAAAATTACGACCTTTCAGAAATATTTAAACAAGAACAACCATTACCAAGTTTTGTGTAATAGAAGTAGAAGCTGGTTTTTAAACATGCCATTGTATTGTGTATTTACCATGGGGCGTAAAATAATGGTACAGAATTGGAGTTTGACAAATAATATATGAAATTATTTGAAGGTATGTACATTTTTATTTGATTATTCATGACCTGTGACCTAGATTTAATTAAATAAAAAACTACAAATTCTGGTTTTGTCTTTAAACAAGTGTGGTTACTGACAAGTGGTGTTTTGTTAATAAAAGTATTGTAGAAAGTGATCCATGGGTGAATTTTACTATTTTGATAAATATTTTTTTTAAACGAATTATGATTTGAATATACGACTAGATAAAGTTGTTATGTCTGTAAAAAAAAACTTTTTTTTTGTTACAAGTGCATTTGAATCACAAAGTTTTATTTTAATTATACAAATATTTAAAATCTCTTATTTCGGAATAAATATATATTTTTATGTTGCCAAAACTAATTAAATCAGAGTTACTCTTATATCGGCAAGGGTAGGGCTTCAAAAATGTAAATTCTTCGTAATTGTTTATTTTTGTTAGTTTCATAATAGATGTAATAGGGCGTCTGTTTACATTCATTCATGTATGTGACCACCACTCTTTTTTTAGATCCCTACTTGTCACGACAATGCTTTCACTAAATTTTAATTCTGATTTGCACTGATAAATTATACAGTTTCGGTTTGCATTTCTGACATATTCAGAAAATTAACCAAATGATGATTGTTCTTGTGATAGGTGTTTTAATATCAACTAATTTGTTTCCATTAAATTGTGCCGATCAAAATTCAACTATTAAAATTCGTAAGTCAAAATAATTTGTTTATTACATAGGTATCCAAAAAAATTTCGTTCGAATTAAAGATTAGTTCTTCGAGGAAATTAAAAAATAGGCCGCCTGGAAGGAACGTTAAATAGTATTAGTAGCAGTAATTCATTTGAGTTTACTTAGTTATTTTAAAAATGTCATCATAAATTGTTTACGTTTATTAATTAGTGAATGTTTTCAAAATTATTTTCGTATTTTCTTATGTAATTGTAGGTGAAGCTATAATGACGATATTTTTTACAATAAAGAAAACCGAGACATTTATTTTGACAAGTAAATTTGGGGTTTTTGGCACCAAATGTCCGAGGCATAAGTATTCTAATTTTGTTCTGACTAGTGGGTAGAAATATTTCATATTATTTCATTTAGAAAAAATTGAGTCTGTCCAATGATGAACCGTAACACTTAAGAGCAATTTTATTTTTATGCGAATCAAGCGAAGGTTGATGATTGTCTAGTTAAAATTTGTTGGTCCATCTCATACATAGTCAATGTTAAATAATTTTAACTTGCCATTTGCACTTCACGTATTGAAAATAAATATTTGGGGAGTGTTCATATAAGAAGGAAGATCATTAATAAATAATAATTGGCCCAAGTTAGATCCCTGTGGCATTCCAAAATTTGCTTTGTACTTTTGCAACAAAATATCAAGATTTGTGACTGAACGTTTATTTTTTATACAAATGTATGAAAAAACGTATTTATTCGGAAAAAAATCTTAATTTTAATCTATAAGTAGATTGTTTTCTATACATATAAAAGTACCTACTGCAAGTGAAATACTGTTTTGACCAACAGACAACAGACAACTCAGGTCAAGTTCTGACAGGGTTATTTTTAGATACTTAAGCCAATTTAAATAGTATGTTACTAATAGTTTCTTGGTTATACCGGGGGTGTCCGTGAGTAAACTTCGGATGCTTTATTTCTGTTAAAATTTAAGTTCAAATCTAAAGTTTTAGTCCCCACTTTACCGAAAGCTACCCTTACGTCAGAATTTTCAACGAGACCTTGCAAATATTATAAAGTATAAAAGACATACTTTTTTGAGTACATCCACAATAAATTCGTGACAATTTTAAATTACTATTTTCACTAATAAACGCCCTGTATTAAACGCTGATTACAACGTTTACTTAGTACCTATATAGCACACTTTCACCAGGTAAAAATTACATAACTCTTCTGTTATGTCTTTTGTTTGTAACCTACATTCGTAAGTAGTAAGATTAATAAAAAAAATAATGCATAACCATTTCAATTAATATATTTCTGACAATTTGTTTATGTAAGAATGAAAATGTGCTCACGAGCAACAAATGTTACACAAATTATTGTTAATAAAGGAAAAAATGATTATTCACCATAATAACTGTTTTAAAATTAATATGTAGGTGTAGGTAAATGATTTTATTGAGAATCGTTTCTTATGTATTTAATTTTTAACTTTTAAGCACTACGAGGATCATATTTGTAGCATTTAAGTTTATAACATTTAATAATAATTTTCCAAAGAATTAAAGGAAGGGTGGTGAAAAAGTGAATGGGGTACATTTTTTAACTACTAATATCTTGATGACGTATAAATGTGAAAATTGGTTTTAAAGGACCCTCCTTTTTTTTGTTGATTTTAGGTAATAGGTATTATCAGAAGAATTTGTTTAAATTTAAGTTACTGTTATTTTTCAAGACTTAACGGCAATTTTCTTGAAGACCCCAAGTTTGCAACACTACAGGGTGAGATGTTAGAAGGGTCAAAAGTAAGGAGTGGAGAATAAATATTTTTATATGTTTTTTTTAGAAATGTGTTATAATATATTTAGTTAAATCTTGCTTACTCTCACACTTTGCAAAATAAATGATACAAAATGTTTAAAAATTAGGAATATCAGTTCAGTTACCAGTTACTGAACTGCTGGTATTTTTTTTACAGTGTATCCAATTAAGTCTGACCCATATTAAAATGCAACCATCAGATATCAAATTTTATTTGTCGTATGCGAGGTTTGACAAAAATAAAGGTACTTTACTCTTTAGCAGAATTCATATTTTTTGACAAACCTTGTATACGGCTTAAAATTATGATTTGTGATATTTACATTTAAAGTTCTAGGCCATGCAGAACTTTTTATAAAGAATGATCTTTTTTCATAAAATTAAGAATAAAAAAGTTTTCCATATGGTTCCGACTTAATTGGACACACTGTATATTCCCATAGTTAGAACATGACTAGTGATCACTTAATTATTAGATAAGTAAGATTTTGATGTCGGATAAGGCTTATGGGTTTAAAAATAGTTAATGTATGTAATAAAACAGTCTTGAAAAAGAAAATCAGATTTTTTTATTGATTTATAAGTTTAAAATTCTATGTAAAGAAATTCTTATATTTTTGGTAATATTAAAATATTGTTTATGTATTTCTGTCACAGCCTGTATAGTATTGAATATGACAAATTACTGGAAATGAAATTAATTTTACATAACTGAACATTATGTTATGATCTATTTTGTATTGGGTGAACAACCCCTAAAATTTAGATAAGGAAAGTACTAAGAGTGGCACATTTTAGAAAAGTTAATTTTATGGGAAATTATATTTCAATTTTGTTAGTTTTTTTAGTTTACCTACTTTCTAAAAGAGTAATAAACTATAAAAGATTTTTTAAAGATTTATTAAAACGTTAATTTAGCAGGTGTTGAAAATGTGACCCATTTGTTTCCATGCAATAATACAAATTTTGTTCAAATCTATTGCGAACATTTTGTAGAATTTCAGGTGTTATTCTCCTGCACTCACCTATTATCCGTTGGCGAAAATCTTCTATGGAATTAGGCTTCATAACAAAACATTTATTTTTCAAGTGTCCCCAAAGAAAATAGTCCAGAGGCGATAAATCGGGTAACCGTGTAGGCCATTCAATTGGGCATCTCCTTCCAATCCACTGTCTAGGGTACCGATTATTTAAAAATTCTCCAACTTAGTGCGGAGATGTGCTCCATCTTGCTGGAAAAGAAACTGATCAACGTCATGATTTGGGTCATTTTCTAATATTTCTGTTATAAGAGGGTCAATTTCATCTTCCAGCATGTTTAGATACACTTCATCAGTTAAATTTCCAGGAATGAAAAGTGGTCCTACAATATGGTTACCTAATATGCCACACCAGACACTTATTTTTTCAGAGTGTTGGGTATTGTTTTTCACGGAATAAATGTGGGTTACTGACATCTCAGTAACGGCAATTATGCCTATTGAAAGATCCATTCAAATGAAATGTACACTGATCGGAAAAACAAATATTAAATAATAAGTCAGGATCTGCAATTAAATACTGGCTCATTTCTTCACAAAACTACAGCCTTCTATCAGAATCATCCTCGTTCATCTCTTGTACTAATCTAGTTTTGTACGGATGAAATTTGTGAGCTCATAAAATCCTTATTATAGATGAACGGGAGATACCCGAGACTTCAGCTAGTTGACGAGTACTTTGCGTATGATCCAATTCAACATGTTCCAAAACAGCGACTTCCACAGCTTCATTTCTGATGACTCGTTGCATCTGTATTTTCTTATTACAGACAGATCCAGTATCGGAAAACTTTTGGACTATTTTGGTAACATACGAATGATTCACATTTTTATTGAGATGATTGTTATTAAACAACCAAAGCGTAAGCTTTTCATTGGACCACACTGCAAAAGTATAACATATGACATACATTTCATGGATAAAAGTGAATTACTTAAAGGGTAGAGATGTACATAAATGAAAACATTAATTATGCACTACTTACTTTTGACTCCTTCTAACAGCTCTCCCTCTAGAGCTGTAAACTTGGGGTCCATAAGTAAGTTGCCTTTAATGTCCTGAAAAATAAAATACTTAAATTTCAACAAATTCAGTACCCAAAATAAATATAAAAAGTGCAGACTCCTTTAGATCCTTCAATTAATTAAATTAATAAAAAAAACATAAATCACATATATGTTGTAAATATAATGTGATTATGTTACAGCCGAATACATAATTCCATGCTCCAAATCGGATTTAAACATAAACAAATGCCTGGTAAACACTTTCAATCATTTGAGGCCGTATTTAAAAAACGGCATAACCGAAATTGATGTACCAAGTATTGATCCTTTACAAATAGACAATTTGAAGATGGAAAATGGACGTGGACCGCTACGTGTTAAAGCTTCTTTTTTTAACATTACAACAACCGGAGCCAGCAATTATACCGTCTCTGGAATAAAGTGAGTTACATTTTTATTTTGAATTATAGTTCAAGACATTCTACAGCGGTCCAACTAAAAAATCAAAACCACCTCGTACATTTCATTCTGATCTATCAACTATTTTATAAATTGGCAACCGTGCCTCACAGCAGATTTTTAAACATGTTTAATAGAAAAATATTTGATTGTCACTAATAAATTACCTTAATTTTGGTTAATGTAAAAAAAAAGAAAAGATTTTGTCTCATTAACGCAGAGGATAAAGTACCTACTAATATTTTTAAAATAGTCATTTTATCCGAATAACCTCAGCTTTTTTTTATAATTTTGATATTTTATGTCACATTTTTTGTGATTACTTCTACGCAACCAGAAACCAAATTAATTTTGCAGTGTTCTCTTTATATAAAGGGGCCACCTTTTGAAACACCCTGTATAAACACACTACCGTCTGCTACCGTTGAGAAATAATTGAGAATAAAATATATGATGTTCTATTTGACAATAAAATGATGCATATGCAACTAACAATACAAAATAGTAATATGTGTTATCTAAATATCAGTAACGTTTTACCAAAACACAATTTTAGTCAAAATTTGAAAAATTATTGTATGTAACATGTTACGAAATGCCGTTTTATGTAACACGTTCACTCGTTACATAAAATAAGGTACTTCTTAACTGGTTTCATAAATAACTATTTTTAAATTTGTAGATTTTCTTTAGTGGAGCTAGAAAAATTATTCTGCATAATTCGTATAGATTATCCGTATGGCTTCATGAGATAGGCCATTACATCCTCTCTTATTGCATAAACTTACTATTGTGTAACTCATGGTGGATATATAAATAGCTTCAATATATGTTTTAGCAGCAGGACAAACAATTTACGACATCTCTGTACATTTTTAATTCTCTTTTGGTTTTAGTACTGATTTAAAGAAATATATTATTGAATTGAGAGTACTTTTACCAAAAATAGAAGTCAAAGGCAAATATGACGTAGATGGAAATGTTCTGCTACTTCCAGTAAAATCAAGAGGAGACTTTTGGGCTGTTTTTGGTAAATTTTCTCCTTTAGATTAGGTATTTACTTAAATCCGCACCATATGGAAAACTTTTTTATTATTAGTTTTATGCAAAATACTTATTTATCATAAAAAATTCTGCATGGTCTAAAACCTATAATACGACTATCAAATATCGTGTACGAGGTGTATCGAAAAATATATTTAAATACCTACTGTTTGGCATAAATACGAACTACATTTAATTTTGTAAATTAATTATAAAACTTCTTTATAGTAGATAAAAAAATTTAATATCTGATGGTTGTATTTTCGATTTCATACTATGTAGAACTTTTTATGAAGAATAACTTTTTCCCATAAAAGAAAATTTCTATATGGTTCCGACTTAAAAGTAGACAGCACGCTGTATAAACGGTTGAATATGCAATTAAATTTTTTTTTTAGTGGATGTTAATGGAGTAGGCAGAATTTTTGGAAAAGAATTTACGGACGAAAATAATATAAAATTTATGAAAGTTGATAAAATGCTGGTGGATTTCAGATTGAAAAAAAGCCGCTTTAGAATAAGAGATATTTTCAATCAAGGAAATATAATAGGTAAATATTATTCCACTTTGTTCTCAGTTTATCTTTCTTATTCCTTCCTGCAAACGGTTAAGAATAAAATACCTCAATCCATATTACATTCACCAATTTTAATTACCATTAAAAGCTTTCGCTAACTCTGAGATCTTTTTTAGGAGACGCGATGAACCAATTTTTAAACAGCAATTCCGATGAAATTATCAAGGAAATGCGACCTGCGGCTAACGTGGCGATAGCAAAGCACTTTAAGGGATTTCTAAATAGTGCTTTCGTCAAACTTCCCATGCAAGTCTGGTTACCCGATGCCGACGTTTGAATTAAAGCTCATCCCAAACTTTTTTCAAAACATTTAAAAAATTGATACTACTAGATACACATACTTAAAAAAATGATAATGAAATAAGTATGTAGGATATCTAGAAGTTGCACAAAAGTTTCTTTTGATAGGTTGAATAAATATGAAAGGAAGTTTAAACTATGAAATAAATATGTTTTTTTAAAAGTTATATAGATTTTACGAGCTTAGATCTCTCTCTTATTGTGATAACAATTCTATCTTGTCAATAGGTTTTTTAAGCTACTTTATAGAATGAGCCCACTTTTAAAAGTATTTTTTGTAAAAAAAAAATATTTTAAGTAGTTTCTTGCACGTACCAGATTAGTCCTTATAATACAGGATCAGTCACGATAATGTTTAATTCTCTAGGACCTACTGAAAAATTTCAAAATTATGAAAAAAAACCTAAATTATTGTAATTTTTTTAAATATATCAAATTTGACTAGCTAATCGGCAATATTTGTGTATTATTTTCAGTGCAAAAAATGTTAATGAACTCTAAAGGATCAAGTACTTTCCTTATTTAAAGTGGCGACCGGTAAAATTTTCTGAAACTTTGGTATTTTGTTGTACTCAATCTAGTCTAAAAATTTCAACAGATCCAACTTAAGCTTTCAAAATAAAGTTGAAAATTTACCAGTTTTTCGGAATTTTTATATTCAAACTTACGAGCTAAATTGAACTTCTGTTACATACACATGTTTTATAATTTCAAATATTTATAATTACAGAGTGATTCACAAATGTATGATGGTAGTTTTTTTGCAAAATCTCACTAACTCTACTGTAACCTCAAGTTTTTTATATGCCGTCAATTTACCTAGACAGTTGGTGGCATAAGGAAAACTTTTTTATTACTAATTTTAGGAAAAACTTATTCTTAATAAAAAATCAAGCATGGTCTAAAACCTAAAATACATCTATTAAACAATAAATTTTATCAGTCGTATAAAGAATAAAATTCATATTTTTTTGACAAACCTCGTATACGTATACAGCTTTAAAAAATTGATATCTGATGGTTGAATTTTAAGTTTTGGACCATGCAGAACTTTTTATTAGGAATACATTTTTTCACAAAACCAATAATACACAAGTTTTCCATCACTTCATATTTTAATTTTCAATTTACAGGAATATTTTATTTCAGATGACAATGTTTAAGAAACTCTTTGTTTTATTGTATTTATTTATCTTTCTATTTTTTTTTTAATATAACGTTTAAGAAAATAATGATGTTGACAATGACTTGGGTGATAATTACTCCCCTTTATCTACGCCCTTGGTTACGGGGTGATTTAAAAATAAATTACAATATATTATTGCAGTTAATAATTCTACAATATTATATATCAACTCTTTCACAATACGCTAGTTCAGTGTGATGTCATTAGGCATTCCAAACAAATGAATTACCAGTGGGCAGGTTTGGTATATCTAAGGGTGGCGACATATGGTGTATTCTATCTACTTTACGTAAAATCATGAATAATGGATTACATTTAAATATTTTATGTCAAACACAATAAAAATAATATTTAAAAAACCCACCTATACATTTCTTCATAAATTGGCAGGCTAGGCGAGTACTACTTCGAATAAAAATAGCGTGCAAGTTGCAAGACTATGTCGCTACCCCCTTAAATATACAAGAATTTCCCACTGGCACCTATTGTTTGACAGGTCGTTGGAATGCCTAATTTTGGTTCCACTGACATTTAATTCTAACCAAACTTTTAACAAAAACCTTAATAAATTTGACATATACGTTTTTATTGTTTGTAGGTTATTTCTAAATAGTGTTTACAGGTCATAAAAAATAGTTTAAAGGTACGTAATTGGTAACTTAACGATTGTATATTTGATGCACGTTATCTACTTTAGGAATATATTATGTATAAAAGTGAAAAAACGATATAATTTAGGTAAACAAAACTAACAAAACGCACTCACAAAATCTACTGTCACTTTAATTCTCAGTGGAATCATAATTATATCATCACTGAACTAGCGTATTATAAGATTAAAAGATTTCACTATTTGTATTTCTTATACAGGGTGAGCCTTGCTCAACAACAAAAATAATTATGTTTTGAAATTATTATAATGATACTTTCCCTGATGTTTCACACTTTTTAAGATGCTCCCTCAAGTAAGTTTCGGATATAGGGCGATCGGGATACCTCTCATTTACTGCATGAAAATTGTTTTCACCAAGCTGATACGTTTTCTTCTAACGCTTATTTAGATATTAAAACGTTTGGTTTAAACATATTTCAACTAAATATTCTAGAATTGAAACGACGTGAAAAAGCAAAAATCTGATGTGTCCAACACATGACTTTCCTATCTAGTTATTATAGGCTTTTTCCGGTTATTTTGTACAACCTATTGCAGCATCTCTATAAATTTTTAGAGGATAAAATATACATTGGCCACATACATCTAACTCGAAACATTTTTCTATAGATATTCATTAAAAACGAAAATACTGAAAAATTTAAATTTAGCACTTTTCCATTACGGTCCATTTTAGAAAAATCATGTATAAACAAAAATTATAGAGATCGATATCGCAAACAACTTTTAGTTCAACAATTTTCATAAAAATCAGAATTTTGCACATTTTGTCAAATTTTTCGAATACGGACCATTTCAGGAAATTTTGACATTAAACAAAAATTATAGATAATAATATTAGAAGTAACTTTTATTTGAACAATTTTTTTCTCCAAACATTAATAACAGATATATTCCATAAAATATAAAAGTGGCCTCCCATAAAGTACCCCCCCCCAGATGTTCTGACTATGTCCAAAATCTAATCATTTCACGTCAGGCCGAAATAAAAATTCGAAATTTACACATTTTCTCAAATATCTCGAATACGGTCCATTTTAGAGAAATTATGTATAGAATAAAAATTAAAGATAATTATATTACAAACAACTTTTATTTGAACAATTTTTATAAAAAATAATTTTTTTTACATTTTGTCAAATTTCTCGAATACGGACCATTTTAGGAAAATTTTGCATAGAACAAAAATTGTAGATAATTATATTAGAAGTAACTTTTATTTGAAGAATTTTCTTCTCCAAACGTAAATAACAGATATATTCCATAAAATATAAAAATGACCCCTTATAAAGTACCCCCCAGATGTTCCGACTCTGCCCAAAATCTAATCATCTCATTGGACGTTGAAACAAAGCTTAAGTTTAAAATTTGATGTTTTTCTGTGAATCGGTTCATGAGTTATGCGTTATACAGACACACACACACACAGACACACACACACACAGACACACACACACAGACACACACACACAGACACACACACAGACACACACACAGACACACACACACACACAGACACACACACACACACACACACACACAGACACACACAGACACACACACACACACACACATCATCGCGAAAATAGTCAAAACAGATTCAGGGGACCTCAAAACGTAAAAATCCGTCGAAAACTCGAGGTCGAAAAAAATCATGATTCCTATACTTTCCTTATATCTGTATACAGATAGGAAAGTAAAAAGGAAAGCTGGTTAAAGAAACGTCAACTTATTAAATCAGTTAATCTGTATTAATAATTATACTCTGAATTAAAATTTTAGTAATTATTTAATTCGTCAAAACAACCTTAAATCCAAACGGAATTGTAATGATTGAATAGATATTTAAAATACCTTTCAAACGAGGTGTCGCTTGAAATAGTATCTCATTTAAAAAATTTCGTCATACTGACACTGTGGTGCCGTCTATGACGATAATGTTACCAGTTACTACAAACATTCATTTTCACATTCCAAATTTCAATAAACCATTCAAAATGTATCTACGTAGTATATAAGAAATATTCAGAAACATTTTAGTCAAAAAATAAACAGAATCACAAAAATATATTTTTATTATCAATTTTTCCATGACCTATTAATTTTTTTTAAGAGAAATGCGTTCAATAAAACTTTTTTCTTTTTTTGTTCGCAAATTAATAATATTCTCGTAAATATCAACAAAGATAAGTAAAAGTTTCAATACTTAGTCTAAATTTAAACATAGAAAAAGTCAAAACAGACGCCACAAACATTTTTAAAATCGAAGATCAGTAACACATTAAAATACAGAGTGTATCAAATCAACGGCACATTTATTGACTACTATTTTTAACCGACTTCAAAAAAGGAGGTTCTCAATTCGTTGTAATATATTTTTTTTTTTATGTATGTTCAGCGATAATTCTTTAATACGGTGTTAGATTTCAATGATTCTTTTTTTGTTAGAAAGAGGGTAAGTTCAGGGAGGTCCCAAATTAACTTGGTCAAAATCTAAGAATTGGGTCCATTAAAAAACCTCAAGCTCTTTATTTTTAATGTATGGCGATAATTCTTTACTTCACCTTGTCTAATTTCTATTGTCCTGTTTTTGTTAGTAAGGGGGTACCTCAGGGGTGGACCCATATAAATTTCGTTAGATGTGGTGACGGCATCTGCATTACTTTTAATACTTGTTTACTAACTAACAAAATTGGGATGTCGATATTAAAAAACGTGGGTTAAGCAAATTATGTACCTACAAATATAAAAAATAAAAGTGCACACTGTTGTTTAGCATTTAATTATCATCAAGAGTTAAAAATTCCAGGATAGACTTAGGAAAAATTAATCTCTAAGATTAATTTAAAAAAGTTCACTGTATATGATTTTCTTATTACTTTCCTATCCGTATAAATTAAATAAAATATTCTTAATTTGACATATGGCGACGGAGGGGACTTTTGGTTAGCACTGTATATATAGTTTAGTGCAATATTTTTGGTATACATTTCTTGCCGAACTATTTTTTAGATTTTAAAAAAATTTTGGGTTCAATAATTATTGGAAAATATTTTTAAATTGCCTGACAAAGTGTAAAGTGCCGGTAACGCCGTAATAACGTCAAAATTAAGACTGGTGTCAACTTAGCGAACAATTTTTAGCCACTAATTTTCCGAAAATTGCTGAACTACCAGTGGCAGCGTAATTATTGTAGGAGGCATTCAAAAAACTGTATGCATCTACCACTAAGATTTGCAAATAAAATAATTAATTTAACAATATACCACTTTATTATTTTAAACTTGGTTGGATACAAAAGAGAAAATAGTCGCAATCAAATATATCGGTTCCTAGACATAAAACCATAAATATTTTCTAGCGTAAGGTAAGAAAATATAACACTTTTAATAAATGTTAAAGAGAACGACTTCCAAGATATTTATTTTCTAATACAAGTTAGGTACAAATACAACTTACAATATACTTTAAAGAAAACCACTTGCAAGTATAAATAGGGCGAAAATCAACCCCAAAGGTAATTTTCCGATTGTTTAATAGAAATTAAATATCTCCGCTCCTAGGCATAAAAACATATTTTTTTTTTATTTTCTAGCATAAGTTTAGGTACAAATGCCACTTTAACATGTCTAAAACAGAACTAATTGCAAGATCAAATAGGGTAATTTTCAACCCCAAGGAGAAAATAGTCGCAAATATCTTGGTATCTTGTATGTATTCTTGGTGGCAAGATTGCATTAAAATGATATCTTTAATATCATCAACATCTCTGTCCCATTTTGTTTTACTCTTATTTTTTTAAATACACACTCAGATTTCACTGACTAAGTTTCCTGCTAAAGCTCGATCCTTTTTTACTTTCCTATCTGTATACAGATAAGGAAAGTATAGGAATCATAATTTTTTTCGACCTCGAGTTTTCGACGGTTTCGAGTTTTCGATGGTTTTTTACGTTTTGGGGTCCCCTGAATCCGTTTTGACTATTTTCGCGATGATGTCTATGTGTGTGCGTGGGTGCGTGCGTGCGTATGCGCGCGCGCGCGCTCGAAATATTTGATTGCGATTATTTTCTCCTTGGAGTTGAAAAACACCCCATTTGATCTTGAAAGTCATTTTTTTCCAGACATGTTAAAGTGGTACTTGTACCTAACTTATGCTAAAAAAAATATGTTTCTATGTCTAGGAGCGGAGATATTTAATTCATATTAAATAGTCGGAAAATTCGTTTTGGGGTTGACAAACACCCTACTTGACATTGCAAGTCGTTCTCTTTAATAGATTTTGAAAGTGGTATTTGTACCTACCCTATGGTAGAAAATAAATATATTGTTATGTCTAGAAACCGAGATATTTGATTGCGACTATATTCTGCTTGGGGTTGAGAAATATCCTATTTGATTTTGCAAGTCGTTCTCTTTTAGACATGTTAAAGTGGTATGTGTACCTAACTTATGCTAGAAAAAAAATATGTTTTTATGTCTAGGAGATATTTGATTCCTATTAAATAATCGGAAAATTCCTCTTGGGGTTGATTGACGCCCTATTTAAACTTGCAAGTGGTTTTCTTTAAATGTCTTCGACCGTAGCTGTGTGGATTACAAAAACCCTCAAGCTCTAAAATTTTATTAGTAACTTTTGTTTGATTTTGTGTTTTCTATTGTAATGAAATTTTGTGAAATGGTAATAACCTACCCACATAAACCTATCCAGGTTATATTTTTGTATTTGACGTTGACTTACTTTGCATAACTCAGCTTACTCATATTTTTGAAAATAATATAAAATCACTTGCGTTTGTTTTACAATTTTACATGCAAATCGTCAGGGTATTTCCTAATATTTTTCGCTTTAGTTTAGCTGTTTGTAACATTGCAATATGTTATTTTCTAAGTAGTTTTTATAATTGAAATTTCGGGGGCTTCTCGTTGGGAAATATTTTTTATATATATTGAAGATAAATGATGTGAAGGATAAATATTATCTTATTGAAATACAAGGAAACAAAAATGAAATGGAACGCATTTTTATGATTTTAAATTCAAATAAATTTTATCATTAGAAAATATACCTCAATAAGACTATAGAATATATTTTGTAAACTATTACACTAGTGCGTATTTCTAATCTTAGTTGACAATAGTAGAAAACATATTCTATGCAATTCATGTGTACTTTACACACTTATTACAGAAATTAGAATTCTGAGCGAAACTACCTTTAGCGTGCTTGAGAAATATTTATATTGACAAGCTTTCTAAAACAGATTTATTTAGTTATTTATCAAATTTTATTTGTTTGTTGTTGATGTTTGTGCGTAGCGTTGTGCCAAAGTACGTCCTTAAGATTTCCCGTCTCTCCTTTAATTTAAAAATATTTAGCATAAAATCTATCAAGCATTGGTTTATAATCACAACAAAGTTTATCTCTTAGCAAAGTGATGAACTTAATGTAATCTTTGAACTTTAGACCCTTTTAAATGCATTTCTGGTTTTTGCATTGGCGCCACGCTACGTTTTCCTATTCTTAGTATTTTCTCCAACAATATTTCTTCTAATTCCTCTACAGACCAGTATGTTATAATTATAAAGTCTAATATTCTTGAAGATTACGGATATACAATTATTTGAATTATTGTGCATTAAAAATATTGAAAAAATTTAGTTAGTCATAAACAAATATAATTTTCAATCAAAACAAAGAATATTTACGAAGATTATATTCAATTTTCGGAAACCAAAACAATTTTATTTCAATGTTAAGGCGACAATTATTATTTTTATAGAGATCAAATCAGATGGGCCGGACTGCAATAAAAAATATCTAAATTAAAAAAAAAACTGTAAATTCTTCAACATCTCTTATCTCTTATAAAGAAGTATTTTTCAATTCCAAATCCGAAGAAAACCTGAAAAATATTACACTAGTTTACAAATTTGAACTTTTTTTTCACCACGAAAGAAATGTATATAAATATGTTTACCTACCTTCCTTAAACCTAAAAGTGTCACAATTTCTTTCTGCAGTCAATTTTTTTTAACTACCCTACGTGCTGACGACAGTTTATTGTTTATTCGTTCGCTTCAAACGTCAATTATTGGGTTGTTGCATAATTAATTGCAGAAACATAACATTTATTTTAAAATTATTTAATAATAAAACACATAAAATTAAAATTGTCACACATTAAGAATCTCTCTAGACGACTAATTGATTCATGTATGAACTTGTCAGTTTGCACCGCTTGAAGTAGTCCTAACTAAATTATTATTGCGCAATATTGCAAACACTTATGCAACAAACCAATATCTTGTTTCGGATTGATTTAATTAAAATGTCAAGTAGAAAGTGTAAACAAAGTTCTGATCGTTTTTGTTATGTTTGTGGACAGTTTATATTTTCAAAAAAGAGAAGACCCGTTGTAAATTCATTAGGAGAAAACGTACACCTTCCATTTGGTTCACCAATGCTATTAAGAGAACCAGTAATCGTGAAAATGTGTTACGAAGATATTGGGATATAATAAAAAAAATCTGATGTGTCCAACACATGACTTTCCTATCTAGTTATTATAGACTTTTTCCGGTTATTTTGTACAACCGACTGCAGCACCTCTATAAATGTTTAGAGGATAAACTAAATATTATACATTTTCCACATACATCTAACTCGAAACATTTTTCTCTATAGATATTAATAATATAAGTAATTTTTATTTGAAAAATTTTCTTCCCCAAACGTAAATAACAGATATGTTCCATAAAACATAAAAATGACCACCTATAAAGTAGCCCCCCAGATGTTCCGAATCTGCCCAAAATCTAATCAGTTCATAGGACGCTGGAACAAAGCTTAAGTTTAAAATTTGGTGTTTTTCTGTGTATCGGCTCATGAGTTATGGTGGATACAGACACACTCACAGAGACACACAGACATCATCGCGAAAATAGGCTTTTCCGGTTATTTTGTACAACCTATTGCAGCACCTTTATAAATGTTTAGAGGATAAACTAAATATATACATTTTTCACATACATCTACTTCGAAACATTTTTCTATAGATATTCATTGAAAACGAAAATAATGAAAAATTAAAATATTAGCTCTTTTCCTCCAATTTTTCCATGACGGTCCATTTTAGAAAAATCATGTAAAAACAAAAATTATAGAGATCGATATCGCAAACAACTTTTAGTTTTACAATTTTCTTAAAAATCAGAATTTTGCACATTTTGTAAAATTTCTCGAATACAGAGCATTTCAGGAAAATTTGATACAAGACAAACAATATAGATTATTAGAAGTAACTTTTATTTAAACAATTTTCTTTTCTAAACATAAATAACAGATATATTCCATAAAATATAAAAACGGCCTACCATAAAGTACCCCCCCAGATGTTCCGACTTCGTCCAAAATCTTATCATTTTACTTCAGGCTGAAATAAAACTTAAGTTTAAAATTTAATATTTTTTCCTTTATCCGTTTTTGAGTTTTCTTCAAAATTCTAAATTTACACATTTTCCAAATATCTCGAATACGGTCCATTTTAAAGAAAATATGTATGGGATAAAAATTATACAGAATTATTTTTTTTACATTTTGTCAAATTTCTCTAATACGGACCATTTTTGGAAAATTTTGTAAAGAACAAAAATTATAGATAATAATATTGTAAGTAACTTTTATTTGAAGAAATTTCTTCTTCAAACGTAAATACCAGATATATTCCATAAAATATCAAAATGACCACCTATAAAGTACCCCCCAAATGTTCCGACTCTGCCCAAAATCAAATCAGTTCACTGGAGGCCGGAATAAAGCTTAAGTTTAAAATTTGGCGTTTCTCTTTGTATCGGTTTATGAGTTATGGTGGAGATACACGAACGCGCACGCACACACGCACACGCACACACACACACACACACACACACACACACACACACACACACACACACACACACACACACATCATCCCGAAAATAGTCAAAACGGATTCAGGGAACCCCAAAACGTAAAAATTCGTCGAAAACTGAAGGTCGAAAAAAATCATGATTTCTATACTTTCCTTATCTGTAATAAATTAACAATTTTTAGCTGATGGGATATAAAAACCGTGTAAACTAGTGTTATTAATCTTAAAACAATATTAAAAATAATATATTAATATGAAATAAGTGACTAAATTGGGGTGAACTTATATATCAATATTGCGATATCTCGAAATTTGGAAAATGGAAAAAGTGATTTTCAAAAATTTTGATTTGGAGGCGCTACCGTTAGAGATATACCTTTACATATATGCATTCTTTTCGGAATATGCGCGACGAATAAGATGGCATGAAATTCAAACATTTATTTAAATATTTAACGGCGATTTTGAGGCATTTCCCAAAGACATGGACAAAAATGGATCACATTTTTGGAAAGTACGCCTCAAAAACTATAAGGTGCCATGAAAAAATACGTCCTATTTTTGATCGTTTTCGTCAAAATGCAGGAAGGGGCATGTGTTTTTCTTAAAATTCCCATATCTAGCTCAACGAAACCATTGTGATTCGGAATCTACTCAATGAGACCTACTATGTCATTAGTAATGAAAAGTAATAAATGGCGTTACCAATCGAAAATCTTTTATTGCAGAGAAGATATGAAAAGAAAAATCTAAAATTGCGCTGCGAATTCCAGAAAAAGTAAATCAAGCTGCATAAATATTACAAAATATAAGTAGACAGTCCAGTCCGTATCTGACAAAGTTCTTCGGGTACATTGATAACCAAGTGTTAATGATGTTTATTGAAGAATAATCCAAGACCTACGCCAATGTTTAACATCGGTAATTGTATTTTGATTGTAATAAGTCGAAGATTATTAAAGAAAATAAAGAAAAACTAATCAGTAGTAGATGAAAATTCGAGCGAGCCGAACGTCATGTCATTGATTTAAACACTTCCGTTTTCTAAATATGATAGTTCGGAAATATCTTTACATTAACTATTTAATTCTTATGGAATTATCGTATTTTTACAGTGATTAAGTATTCGAAAGTGTCGATTTAGTGTTTTAGAAATTTTCAGTGTCACATTTTTTTTTTATAAAAATGCTTAAATTTACGAAGAGACAGTGGTTAACACTGATTGTAATAGGAATTGCAGATTTTTGCAATGCTATATGTGTGTCTTTACAAGCACCTTTCTACCCTCAAATTGTAAGTATGTTTACTTAAATAGCTACATTTTATGTTTTATCAATTCAAATCAATAAGTTAGAATTGTCAAATTCCAGAAGTTATTAATTAGGTACGTACCTATTTATCAGATTATTTGAACACGGAAAAACCATATTTTTAAAGTTAATTTAAAAATTAAAATAAAAACGAAAATTAGTAAAAGTAAAAAAAGAAATTAAAAAATCTCCAAAAGGTTGGAACATAACACCATCAACAATCCGCGAGGAAAGGATAATTTTTAGTATGGCCTGTTCAAAGTGAATGAATGCAAAATTCATTTCATTTTCGAGGAATGTTTTTCAACGCTCTGTATATCTACCAATTTTTACATTTGTAACATATTCGGTTTTTGAGAAGTTTAAAAAAAAAATAAATATAAATAAAATAAATATGAGTGATTAAACTTTAATATAATTTGAATTATAGGCAGAAAGTAAACATTGTACAGCTACAGAATATGGACTAGTATTTGGAATATTCGAATTTGTAGTATTTTTAATAAGTCCGATATATGGCCAGCATCTTAACAAAATAGGACCAAAATTAATGTTTAATGGAGGAATTTACACTACAGGCATTTGCGCTATACTTTTTGGGTAAGAATTTTTTATACATACAAATTGATTCATTAAGGGTGAGGACCAGTCGTATCTCGCAAACCGTATGTCCTAGAATTTGTTGAAAAAAAAAAATCTGATGTGTCCAACACATGACTTTCCTATCTAGTTATTATAGGCTTTTTCCGGTTATTTTGTACAACCTATTGCATCTCTATAAATGTTTAGAGGATAAACTAAATATATACATTGTCCACATACATCTACCTCGAAACATTTTTCTATAGATATTCATTGAAAACGAAAATACTGAAAAATTTAAATTTAGCACTTTTCCATTACGGTCCATTTTAGAAAAATCATGTATAAACAAAAATTATAGAGATCGATATCGCAACCAACTTTTAGTTCAACAATTTTCATAAAAATCAAAATTTTGCACATTTTGTCAAATTTTTCGAATACGGACCATTTCAGGAAATTTTGACATAAAACGGATTCAGGGGACCCCAAAACGTAAAAATCCGTCGAAAACTGGAGGTCGAAAAAAAATCATGATTCCTATACTTTCCTTATCTCTTATCTGTATACAGATAGGAAAGTAAAAATTCATATAACAAAATCGGCCTTAAAAAAATGCTTCAAAATGTTTAAAAGTCCGCAGTTCTCCGCTAGGTGGCGCATTCTATCACTTATAACATTTAATTGGGTTTTTTTTTTACAAAATATTGCCTAAGTTTGGTAAAAAATATGTGTCCAACACATGACGTTCCTGTCTAGTTATTACAGGCTTTTCCAGATATTCTGTACAACCTATTGTCTCACCCCTCTAAACGTTTAGAGCAGTGCTCCGCAACCTTTCCTCATCTGAGGCACACCAAACTGCTCCCTAGAATTTCGTGGCACACCAAAATCTAAAATATATTTATAGCAGTGGCGTAGCTAGGTCGGGGGTCAGTTCACTCCATGTATACTAATTATTTATGGATGTCCAAACTACCTTAGTTTTTTTTATTGTTTTAAAATGTGAAGAAGCCCCTTTCAGATTTGGGGCATCAAAATTTTCACTCAGGACATAATACATATTTTTTTTTTATTTTTTTTTATTATTCAGATAGAATGAAAAATACAAATAGGTACATACATGAGAACTATACTAAATACTAGGTAGGACAGGTAGGTATACTAAATTTACTTCTGTTGACACGTCAATAGTAATAAATATTTTGACATGATGATGACTGATTAATGTGATACCTGCGCTTGCTTCGTTGAACACAAAAGTTTTATATTCGGCTCAATTTTAGACAGCGCAACTCTCATTTCTTGGTCAAGATCTTTTAAGCATGACCGTTTATCATTTTTAATTAATACAAGCGTTGAAAAACTTTGCTCACATAAATATGTTGTGGAAAACGGAAGTAGTGTGAAGATGGCCTTGTCGGTGATGCGTGGATATTCTGTCTTGATGGAAATCCAGAAAACATCTAACGGAACTTCGTCGAATTTAAGTTTTAGGGTCATATCATTACTTAATTCTGTGAACTCCTCTCGAGTTTGCAATGGCAGTGCTTCCGTGGAACTTATTGCATTGGTTGCGAAAGGATTTCGAATCCAATTGTATTGTTCCGTGTTGATAGAATGGAAATAGTATTCAAATTTTTGTTGAAGCATACTTAAATGTTGTTGGGCCAAATCCACAATCAACTGCTTGTTTTCGATCGTACTGTGGTTGGTCCTGTGATACATTTCTAGACATCCTTTTTGCAACTGTTCCTGCCAAAGTTCAAGTTTCTTTTTGAACCCTTGTAATTTATCGGAGCACGTCAATATATTTTCATTCCGTCCTTGCATTTTTTTATTAAGTTCATTCAGATGTTCGAATATATCCGCCATGTATGCAAGTTTGGCTATCCAGTATTCATCATGAAGGTGCTGGCATAGATCGTACATATCTTGACTTGAAAGAAACTCACGCACTTCGTAGCGAAGTTCAAACAGTCGAGCTAAAACTTTTCCCCGGGATAACCAACGAACTTCTGTATAAAACAGTAAGGATTCATGTTCGCTTCCCATTTCTTCACAGAGTATTCCAAAGATTCGCGAATTTAAGGCTCTCGATTTAATTATGTTTATGATCTTAATACATTCATTCATTGTGATCGAAAGCTGTTCGGGCAAATTTTTGACCATCAATGCTTCTCGATGTATGCAGCAATGTGTAATTTGTATTGACGGATTTTTTTGTTTTACACAAGATACAAAACCTTTCTTACTGCCCATCATTGCAGCAGCACCATCTGTACAAATAGCAACGCAATTGGTCCACTGAATATTATGTATTTTAAAAAAATTATCAGTTACTTGGAAAATTTGTTCACCGGTAGTTCTCTCTGGAACCTCCTTACAAAATAAATAATGTTCTTTAATAGAGTCCTCGTCAACGAAACGTACAATAGCCATCAGTTGTGCTTTATTTTTAATATCGGTTGATTCGTCGATTTGAAGCGCAAAAATTCCAGCCGAAATGATTTTTTTAATTAGTGTTCCCAAAATATCACTTGACATATCTTGGATACGTCTTTTAACAGTATCGGCCGACAAAGAAACTTTACTCACGTCCTTAACTTCATTTGGCCCAAGCATAAGTCTAACAATTTCCATGCATGCTGGTTTAATAAGCGTTTCACCGATAGTGTGCGGTTTTTTTTGTTGTGCAATTAATTTTGCAACAAGGTAGCTTGCTTCTAATGCCTTTTCAGAAACCGTAACCGCCGATTTCATAAACTGCTTTTGTTTCTTATTTTGATCCAAGCGCCGTTGGAAAAATTGAATGTCTTTTTTGACGCAACTGGGATGATTTGTGATCAAATGACGGTTTAGTTTGCTGGGTACCATTGCTTCATTTGACAACTGTTCACCGCAAATGACGCATTCAGGCTTTGGAGCCGCTTCGTCGCCACACCAAGTGAAACCATATCGAAGGTAGTCTTGATTGTACTTCCTTTTTAGCACCTTTTTTGCTCTTTTTGCAGCACTTATGCTGGAGCTTGTGCTAGGTTCTTCGTCATCTGCTCGTGATTTCAGCAAAAATTTATCCATATTTGAAGCACTATAGTTATTTATAAAAGTAGATACTGCAACAAAACTTAGTCCAGTTCACTTATTTATAAGGCACAAGAATTTATTTATATAGCAATTCACTATTTATTTCACTCTACGATTTATTTGTTTGCCCGCGTATTTATCTGATTCACTTGACTATTCGACTCTCTCTGAGTCTCTGAGCGACGACAGGCGCGCTTATATAGGCAGTGGCGATGTTCAGGAAAACATCGAGTCGCGCCTCGAACGGCACGGATCTTTCTAGTTTAGTCGCCTTCGAGAATCAAGCCGCCGCGCCGATAGACGGATAGACGTTTACCATCGGCGCTGTTGTCAGATTGCTTTATTTTTCGCGGGTCTCGCTACAATACGAATCTGATTCGTATTGTCTGCAAGAGCGGCACACCTCAAGTCGGCTTACGGCACACCAGTGTGCCGCGGCACACCGGTTGCGGAGCACTGGTTTAGAGGATGAACTACACATCTTATTTGGAACATGTTTTTATATACAGGGTGGGCCAAGGAAAACTTTACACCCCAGTCTGAGTCTTTAAATTATCAGAAAAAATTTTATGTCTGATAAGAGCTCCAGTTACACTTGACAATATAAGAGGATCGTAATCTGTTTAATTGATAAAATTCGTTCGAGCTTTGTTGTGCTTTGTTGGTTGCAGCTATTTTTTTGAGATGTTTGTTTATAAGTGATTAAATAGGACATACATATATCAGCATGGTGTTGAAAAATTAAAATGTACAAACAAAACAGTTTGAAGTGTTTTGTTTGAACATTTTAATTTTCCGTTCGACAGCTTGTTTATTTAAGTTGAGTGCACTTGCAATGTTGTGTATTATTTAAAAGTTGTAGAATAAGGATACGTTTCTAAATCTAATATTTTCTATCAATTTTAATTAGAGAATATTTAGTAAAAAATTGAATTATATTTTGTGATCGATAAATTGCGTCACCTAGCAGAAAACTACGGACATAAAAACATTTTTAATAATTTTTTCTCCAAATTCTAGGAATTTCGGCTTTTGAGATATAGCTAGTCACCTCCCGTGTATTCTAATAAGAATTTCCAAATGATTTCGAACTTATTTTGAAAAGGGGTTTTCTTTTCATATTGCAGAATTCTTGGTGTACAAAAACTGCACTTCTGCGGTTTGATGCCATTAGATTATTTTTTTGTAGGGATTAAAATTGTTCAGAGTTATAAGACGTGATTCACACAGCTTTTATTAAAATTTATTATTAACATTCGGAAATTCTTGTTGGAACATTTTTTATTTTATTTAATTTAACAGCGGCATTTGTAAAATTCATATTTTTTTCAGTTTATTGGACAAGATTCAAGAAAGATATGCATTCATCATTTTGAGTTTTGTAATTAGAATCGTAGAGGCATTGGGAAATGCCGCATTTTTAACAGCTAGCTTTGCGATTATAGCTAAAGAATTTCCGAACAATGTAGCAACAACATTTGTAAGTACCTTTTACCAAAAATATTGAAACAGAACAAAAAATTTAATCAAACGCGGCTTAACCGAATAATTAATCAGCATTGTAAAGATTTGATTAGCTTATTGGTTTGGGCTTAGGATTTGAACATTCATATTTTTTGATAAATGTTGAATAATTTGGTTGGGGAAAATACCCGATTTTAAGGAATTATTAATTATACCTATGTGTGAAAATATCTTTTATTACAAGTAGACTAAGTTTCTTTATACTTGCTGGGATTCCATCAACCCCACTAACTGAGTTTATTTTTTATTTTGGTTGAAAGTTCCATTATTTCTAATGGTGTAACTGGTTTTAAGAAAATTGACTTATTATTTTCTGGGAATATATAAGGAATAACCATGTAGTTGATGCAATGTCATTGACACACTAATATACAAATAATATAAGAATATGTTTTATAACATGCCAGTTCATCGGCTTTATCGCATAAAGGCGCATCTCATTAATTGTAACTTTTCAGGAGAGCAACTTTTAATAAACTGTTATTTTTTGTGACCACACTGTGACAAAGCTAAAATAGGAAATGTGTTTTTGTACGCCACGTTACGGAAGTATGGGGGTTAAAATACAATATTTTTTGTAGTTGTAGACCTAACTCGATTTTGATTATTTATGAGATACGCCTTTATGATGCGGTAAAGGGACGAGTTGTGATAAATTAACTTAATTAATTATTTTTTTTCATGCAGCTCACCGTAGAAACAACCGAGTTGAGCTTAGGGAAATTTAAAAAATGTTTATTAAAGTTGCTCAACTAGAGGCAGCACCTTTATTTTGTCTTTTTTTAAGAGGAATTCTTGAGATTTCTCGGTTCCTCTGCTCGGCCTTAATTTATCAACGTTTCAGGCTTCTTTGGAAACATTTTTTGGTCTGGGATTAATTGTTGGTCCAACAGTAGGTGGTGCCCTTTATCAAGCAGGTGGTTATACTCTGCCGTTCGTCGTAATGGGATCTGCGCTCTTTATGTCGGCCATTTTGACAGCTTTCGTTCTGCCGAAACATGAATCAGGAACAGACAGAGCCGCAGGACGTAAGTATAAGATTTACTCACTAAATATTTTGGGTGAAGTTTAATTTGGAACAGCTTGCAATAATTACATATAAATTCTAAAAATTAATGATAGTTTGCTTTATAAACTATGGTCCAAAAATGTTCCGTTACGAAAATACAGGGTGCTAAAGTTTTTGAAAAAAAAAAAAAAGAAAATTAATTAACATTTTCGTAACCGATTGATATATTTAATATTCAGTGACAGTTAATAACGGTGTATATTTTTCATTACAAAAATAATTTTCAGCTTTAACAATGGCACTAGCCTCAATATTTTTGAAGAAAAATATGGTGCACCAATGGATTTTTCCCAAATAAAAATTATTTTTAAATTCACCATTCAATTTTAAACTTAAAGGATCTCTTGATTTGTTTTCCTACGTTAATCATTTTTTGAGTAAATAATAAAAACTTGTATTGTAGTTTATAAAAGTAATAAGAAAAAAAAATGACTGGGCCAAAGTTTATAAAACAAACTTGCATTAATTTTTCATGTAGATTTACACCCTTAAATATTCGCATATCCTTAAGGATAACCCTGTATAAAGATATTTCGTAATTTTAATTTTTAGCGTCGGCTTTCAAAGCTTTAAAGATACCGGGAGTTTTTATTATCAACCATGAGCATAATCGTCACTAGCATGTCAATAGGATTTCTGCAAGCCACTCTGGAACCCCATTTGCGTTCATTTTTTTTGCCTCCCATCATTTTGGGGCTAATGTTCATCATCAACGGAGGTATATATGCAATGACAGCTCCCGGATTTGGTTGGTTGTGCGACAGAGCCTACTCGCCCAAATGGATAACCGTTTCTGGTTGCTTTTTGGTTGCCGCAGGATTTTGCATGATCGGACCAGCTCCAGTCATTCCTGTTGAAAAGTAATTATTAATAAAACAGATTTTTGGTCTTTTTTATAAAAACTATCTCTTCATTAACTTATTAACTATTTTTTTCTTCTTATTTTTAGAACTCTGTGGCTAATAATGTTAGGTTTGGTTCTTCATGGTTTGGGAATGGCGGCGCAATTGGTGGCTTCCTTCACTGATGCGTTAAGAACCACTGTGTAAGTTTTAACGTTATTATAATATTTTTTCCTCCACTTTCCTCCCTCGCACCAGGGAATAAAGTAATACTTTTCCTCCCTCACATACATATGTAAATATAATATAGACCAGAGTATACTGGCGCATTCGTTTGCAAAATTGTTTTAATTCGTAATTTTTTTTTAAATGTCCGGAAGGCTTTCCTGATTATAAAAGTGTAAGATGACACTCGTAGATAATCTGTTGATGTTATTGTTTAAACAACGAAAAAATAATTAAGCCAGAAAAAATGCATTTTTTGCAATGAATTAATTTTTTTTATATTCTTTAGGATATTTCGAATAAAAAAATCTGATGTGTCCAACACATGACTATCCTATCTAGTTATTATAGGCTTTTTTTAGAAGATAGATATTCATTGAAAACGAAAATACTGAAAAATTTAAATTTAGCACTTTTCCTTCAATACGGTCCATTTTAGAAAAATCATATAAAAAACAAAAATTATAGAAATCGATATCACAAATAACTTATTTAAACAATTTTCCTAAAAATTTGAATTTTATTACATTTTGTCAAATTTCTCGAATACGGACCATTTAGGAAAATTTTGTATATAACAAAAAATATTGATAATAATATTGTAAGTAGCTTTTATTTGAAGAATTTTCTTCGCCAAACGTAAATAACAGATATATTCCATAAAATATAAAAATGACCCCTCATAAAGTACCCCCCCAGATGTTCCGACTCTGCCCAAAAACTAATCAGTTCATTGGACGATGGAATAAAGCTTGAGTTTAAAATTTGGTGTTTTTCTGTGTATCGGTTCATGAGTTATGCGACATACAGACACACACACAGACATCATCGCGAAAATAGTCAAAACGGATTCAGGGGACCTCAAAACGTAAAAATCCGTTGAAAACTCGAGGTCGAAAAAATCATGATTCCTATAATTTCCTTATATCTGTATACAGATAGGAAAGTAAAAATACGTGTGGCACTCGGGGACTGCATCAACTTATGCAATTATAATTATTTATTTATTTTATTTATGCAGTATTTTTTTTTCTTTGATATTAATTCAAGTTACACTTTTTGAGCGTGTTGACCGATAAGAAAACAATTTTTTTTCTTTTATTGAATAAATGAAAAGTTAATAGTCAGGAATTTTTATCATTGAAACTATAGGTTTATGGTAACTGAAATAAGAAACATAAGTTTGAGACTTGATATCCTCTAAATATCTGGAAAATACCGCATCAATGGTGGTCCCATATTTTGTTGTGGATTCTTGTGGATCATTATTCATTTTCAAATTCAATTTTTCCGAAATTGTGTCTAAAAGAGATATAATCAGTTATGAGCAGTTAGCAGCTAGTCTACACGCATACGTCTAGTCGCACGCACACAAACCCCGTGCCGAAGTCTGCCGAACTGAAACGACTTTAGACGATGCACGGCTTTCAACGCCGCACCGGTGTGCCGGTCGGAGTGGGGGTGTTAGGTTTATTTTCGTTATGGAATTTCTTTTTCGATTTTTTAATGCACAGCTTTCAACACCGCACCGCTGTGCCGGTCGGAGTGGGGGTGTTATGTTTATTTTCGTTACGGAATTTCTTGATTCGGTCGCCGCGTTCAAAGCCCGCGATAAAAGCTATGCAATAGCTTAAAAAGAAAACATACAGTGCATATATACACACATACATATCTGTATCACAGCAATAGTTTACAATTTATAATAAAATATAATAGTCATTGATTACAGCCCAAGACTAAAATTAATTTAATTTATTAAATCAGTATTAAAATATCTCGGAACATGTTACATAGTTACCCTAGTCAGCATGATCATGATCAGATAATACGTCTCTTACCACCATACTCTTTTTATATTGAAAATTTGAGAAAATATTGTCAGGTCATGTTTTAGATCTGTGCGTGATACGAGTGTATGTCAATATTGTTTAAATGTTCTATTGTGTGCTGCTACCCATTTCTTTATTAACGCCTCGGATGTTGATGGTTAGAAGACAATTTTATTTATGATTAGGAAGCTTCCTTCTCCTACATTAAGATGAATGATTTTTGTTATTTTTTAATGTTATCTATTAGTACTTAATTTATTTTTTTGCTGTTAATTTGCAATAAATTTGTAAACCACAGCATTTTTGAATAGAGAATAAAGAGACCTTTCAAATGAGGTATCTCAAAAGGCTATATGCTTCCTCTTTATACATTTTGGGGTTGCAATTGTCATTCGAATGAGGTTAAAGATCGGGGCAACATCTTCAGGTTTCAGGATGCCATTTTAGAATCTAAAATTGACGTGTTTCTCAATTTTTTATAAATATGCACAGTAATTAATTGAGCTACTGAATGTATTCAAGTTGACTATTAAATACTGTAAATAAGTAAAAAATACATGAATTTCGAATCTTTTGAATTCGATTTTTATCACTTAAATCTATATAAGGCCAAAATGAGAAAGCACAATTGAATCATTCAAAGTTCATATTTAATGTTGACATCGAAAAAAATCTGATGTGTCCAACACATGACTTTCCTATCTAGGTATTACAGGCTTTTTCCGGTTATTTTGTACAACCTATTGCAGCATCTCTATAAATGTTTAGAGGATAAACTAAATATATACATTGTCCACATACATCTACCGCGAAACATTTTTCTATAGATATTCATTGAAAATGAAAATACTGAAAAATTTAAATTTGGCACTTTTCCTAAAATTTTTCCATTACGGTCCATTTTAAAAAAATCATGTATAAACAAATATTATAGACATCGATATCGCAAACAACTTTTATTTCAACAATTTTCATAAAAATCAGAATTTTGCACATTTTGTCAAATTTTTCGAATACGGACCATTTCAGGAAATTTTTACATAAGTCAAAAATTATAGATAATAATATTAGAAGTAACTTTTATTTGAACAATTTTTTTCTTCAAACATAAATAACAGATATATTCCATAAAATATAAAAACGGCCTCCCATAAAGTACCCCCCAGATGTTCCGACTTTGTCCAAAATCTAATCATTTCACGTCAGGCCGAAATAAAACTTAAGTTTAAAATTTAATGTTTTTTTCTTTATCCATTTTTGAGTTTTCTTCAAATTTCGAAATTTACACATTTTCTCAAATATCTCGAATACGGTCCATTTTAGAGAAATTATCTATAGGATAAAAATTATAGAGAATTATATTACAAACAACTTTTGTTTGAACAATTTTTATAAAAAAAAATATTTTTTTACATTTTGTCAAATTTCGCGAATACGGACCATTTTAGGAAAATTTTGTATATAACAAAAATTATAGATAATAAAATAAGAAGTAACTTTCATTTGAAGAATTTTCTTCCCCAAACGTAAATAACAGATATATTCCATAAAATATAAAAATGACCACCTATAAAGTACCCCCCCAGATGTTCCGACTCTGCCCAAAATCTAATCAGCTCATTAGACGTTGGAACAAAGCTTAAGTTTGAAATTTGGTGTTTTTCCGTGTATCGGTTCATGAGTTATGCGTTATACAGACACACACACACACACACACACACACACACACACACACACACACACACACACACACACACACACACACACACACACACACACACACACACACACACACACACACACACACACACACACACACACACACACACACACACACACACACACACACACACACACACACACACACACACACACACACACACACACACACACACACACACACACACACACACACACACACACACACACACACACACACACACACACACACACACACACACACACACACACACACACACACACACACACACACACACACACACACACACACACACACACACACACACACACACACACACACACACACACACACACACACACACACACACACACACACACACACACACACACACACACACACACACACACACACACACACACACACACACACACACACACACACACACACACACACACACACACACACACACACACACACACACACACACACACACACACACACACACACACACACACACACACACACACACACACACACACACACACACACACACACACACACACACACACACACACACACACACACACACACACACACACACACACACACACACACACACACACACACACACACACACACACACACACACACACACACACACACACACACACACACACACACACACACACACACACACACACACACACACACACACACACACACACACACACACACACACACACACACACACACACACACACACACACACACACACACACACACACACACACACACACACACACACACACACACACACACACACACACACACACACACACACACACACACACACACACACACACACACACACACACACACACACACACACACACACACACACACACACACACACACACACACACACACACACACACACACACACACACACACACACACACACACACACACACACACACACACACACACACACACACACACACACACACACACACACACACACACACACACACACACACACACACACACACACACACACACACACACACACACACACACACACACACACACACACACACACACACACACACACACACACACACACACACACACACACACACACACACACACACACACACACACACACACACACACACACACACACACACACACACACACACACACACACACACACACACACACACACACACACACACACACACACACACACACACACACACACACACACACACACACACACACACACACACACACACACACACACACACACACACACACACACACACACACACACACACACACACACACACACACACACACACACACACACACACACACACACACACACACACACACACACACACACACACACACACACACACACACACACACACACACACACACACACACACACACACACACACACACACACACACACACACACACACACACACACACACACACACACACACACACACACACACACACACACACACACACACACACACACACACACACACACACACACACACACACACACACACACACACACACACACACACACACACACACACACACACACACACACACACACACACACACACACACACACACACACACACACACACACACACACACACACACACACACACACACACACACACACACACACACACACACACACACACACACACACACACACACACACACACACACACACACACACACACACACACACACACACACACACACACACACACACACACACACACACACACACACACACACACACACACACACACACACACACACACACACACACACACACACACACACACACACACACACACACACACACACACACACACACACACACACACACACACACACACACACACACACACACACACACACACACACACACACACACACACACACACACACACACACACACACACACACACACACACACACACACACACACACAGACATCATCGCGAAAATAGTCAAAACGGATTCAGGGGACCTCAAAACGTAAAAATCCGTCGAAAACTCGAGGTCGAAAAAAATCATGATTCCTATACTTTCCTTATATCTGTATACAGATAGGAAAGTAAAAATGTATATGCGGGTAAATAGCCTTTAACCCAGAATAAGCTAGTTTAAATTTGACAGTTATATGATTCTTGGGCCCCAATTATTTATTGTCCACAATTAGACCTACATTTTTTCCCGAGTCACTAATTGCTATATTTTCACCTTCAAGTTTTAAATTTAATGAATTTTTAACTTAATTTTTTAAAGAATCTATGCAAAATAATACGGCACATGATTTGCTAGGATTTAATTTTAATAGAAATGATTTCAATATTTTGTCATGACTAAAGGATTTGGTATTTTTATCACCCGAGTTGGTTGATTTTACATATGTATATTTTAATAATTTTATTTAATTTAGAATAATAATTTTGTAGTGTATCTATTTGAAAAAATAAATTATTATTAACAATTGCTAAATAGGTATATTAGTATCATTTTTTTCTTAATCTCTGCTTATTTTAGTGCTCAAGGATTCCCCAACAATCTGGAAACCTTCGGTTTGATTTCCGGTCTTTGGACAAGCACGTTCGCTCTGGGAGCTTTTATGGGTCCGTCCATCAGCGGAGTTTTGTTCGATACTATTGGTTTTCCGAACGCATCTTTATTCATTATCGTTTTACATCTCCTTGTGGGAATATTGACGGCTACGTATATCTTCGTTGCGAAACCTCAATCTCCTTATGTGGAAATTAAGGAAGAAACCAAAGAAGAAATCGACAAACACAGTTACATTGCGTCGTTGATACAAAACAGCGTTACTGAAAGCATGAAGAGGTAAAAAATGATTTTATTTTTATCTTTAACATCAATCAAAATTTGGTGCGAAAATAGACAAACAAATAAACACACACAAAAACGCACGCACACAGGCACTTTTCTTTAAATTTTCTATTACGGTCCAATTTAGAGAAATCATGTATAAAACAAAATTTGTATAAATCGATATGGCAAACAACTTTTAGATTAACAATTTTCTTAAAAATTAGAATTTTTCACATTTTGTTGAATTTCTCGAACACGGACCATTTTAGGAAAATTTTGTAGAGAATAATATTAGAAGTAACTTTTATTTGAAGAATTTTCTTCTTCAAACGTAAATAACAGATATATGGGTCTATTCGGTAACAATTCCTTTATATTTAACGGCCTTTAAAAATATTTTGTGTTCTACAGGATCATTGAGCTTATTAATGTAGGTGTTAATGACTCGGTCATGTATAGTATGGGTTTTATGTAATTTATAAAAAAATCCAAAATTTAAAAATAAATGAATACGAGTTTTTAAAATTTGGTTATAAAAAATTATCACCATTAATAATTTTTGAATTATAAACTTAATTTATTTGTTTCGGAAACGTGGTGTAATATTTTAGTTAATCATGTCTCGTTTAAGCCTCTTATTTTAATCAGAAAAACTTCAGTTGTTCAGTGTCCCATTCTTAATTTTAAGTTTAAAGTAATGGTTATGTCGTAGCGGTGTTATTATAATCAAAATAATGAAAGAAATAAAGAACTGTGAAATTATTATTTTTTTTTTTTCATATTTTTTATTAGTATTTTTTTATTATTTACAGCATTCGATCTGTGGGTAATGGAATTTCAATAGAAAAAAGTCGTCCTCCAGGAATGAACAGTTTAATAGCTTGCAACAGCTACAAATCCCAAGCTTGGCCCGAAAGAGACTCATCGAATTTAAATTTAGGACCCTACAGTTACAGTTATGGATACGGTACTGTCAATAGGAAACCTTCAAATGGTGGTTGTTCGAGTGGTTCTTATTTTCCAATAGCATAAGTCAATGTAAAAAAGTGTACATTTTCTATTTAGAGACGTTAGAAATTTCTAATGTATAGAAATAAACGAGAGAGAATTTTTACTGTAACACAATAAGCCTGTTGTTTATGAGTCTGATAAACTTTTACAGAGCTTGAGAATGCAATTTTTTAAAAATTTATCTTGTCCATAAATTTTGATAAAAACATTTTGTTGCAACCGGCTGTACTGTATGTATTATAAATAAACATTATTAAATGAAATGTATGACGTTTATTTTTTTCCTGTAGTGAAAAAATAATAACACGTTGGGTAATATATGTTAATTTTACTGTTTACGTGTTTAAAACTCTTTTATAAGGGTCGTGGATTTGGCATTAGGATTAAAATAATATAATTTCGAAATTAGATATTGGCAAGGTCCGTATTTATAAACAGAACTCGGCTCCTTGAACGAAAATCGAAGTTGTGGGAGCTGCTAAGGGACTGGCAAATAGGTAACACCAATTGAGAAATTTGTAGTAAATTTAATAAGACCTTTTCGAAAATTTTATTATTTCCGTTAACGAAAGAATTTCTTAGTTTCTTGAAACTTTCGTTGCTCTTCTATACAAAAGCTACTTTTTCTTTTTTTAATATGTGAAAAGAAAAACTAAAAATAACTCGAAAAGTTTTAATTATACACATAATCGAATATTTTCACTTGTCCTCGGTCAAGCTAGCGATTGCTCGGCACGGCATCTGCTCCAGCGCAGAGGCTCGGCAGGTAATCGGTTACCCAAAAACCACAACAAATACAAACAATACCAACAGTAAATTTTAAAATATCTTTAATGTTATTGGTTATTTCGAAATATTCGTGAACTTAATATCAGACATACGTGAAACTATTATTTCCATGGGAATGTCTATTCCGACAAGTTCGAGAATTGCATAACCTATTACCATGGGAATATAAGTACCCAGACAACACACCAAATCCCAGAGATATCCACAGAATATATTTTGTGGATATCCAATATATCCACAGGATATCAGAAATATTCCGTGGAACTAATATGGATATCCAAATGTCCGTCTATATCCAGAATATAGAAGATATCCTATGGATATTCAGCAAAATATCTAATGAGTATCTCCAGACAATACAAGAAATCCCAGATATCCATAGAATATATTTTGTGGATATCCAACCAAATGTCCGTCTATATCCCAGGATATAGAAATTCAGATAAATATTTTATAATTATTTTTAGTAGAGGTTCATAATTACCAATGGTTATTGAATAACGTCGAAAGAAAATAGAGATAAAAAATATTCCCAACAATCTGCCTTTGACTAAGGAGAAAATCATCCTTATTAGGAATCTTCAGCAATAAATGGAACTTCTCGACTTCAGTCTCTAATGAAGTCTGTTTGTGAAACAATGTCGATCAAACTCAATTATGGCGGGTTAAGCATGAGTAGATACGAAAGTGGTATCGCCATCTATACTTAGGAAGCAAAATCAAAAATTACATCTAATAGATATCCACGATGGTTTGCGTCCGCGCTTAGACTTTGATATATTTATAGTGGATGTCCATGGGATATTGAATACACCTTAAAAAAAATTAATTTTAAATATCTCAACGGTACTATTAGCCACAATGGCGAGTACAATGGCGTAATTTTTTAATAATTTGCTATATAATTACAATTATTTATGGACATTTGCATGTCTATAAATTACATTTCATGGATATAAAATAGATATCCACCATGGACTGGACATTCAGTGGATATTGGGATATTCAGTAGATATCCAAAGGATTTGGTGTGCTGTCTGGGTAGTGGAATCTTTTCCCATGGGAAAATTTTCCAATGAACTCGAGAATCGAGCCCCAGGGATAAAACGGATAAAAGAAAAAACATTAAATTTTAAACTTAAGTTTTATTTCGGTCTGGCGTGAAATGATTAGATTTTGGACGAAGGCGGAACATCTGGGGGGTACTTTATAAGAGGCCGTTTTTATATTTTATGGAATATATTTGTTATTTACGTTTGGAGAAGAAAATTTTTTAAATAAAAGTTACTTCTAATATTATTTTCTATAATTTTTGTCTTATTGCAAAATTTTCCTAAAATGGTCCTTATTCGAGAAATTTTACAAAATGTAAAAATTACGATTTTTAAGAAAATTGTTGAATTAAAAGATGTTTGCCGTATCGATCTCTATAATTTTTGTTTTTTTTTACATGAATTCTCTAAAATCTAAAATAAAATGAAAAATTGGACAAAAATTATAAAATTTAAATTTTTCAGAATTTTCGAGTTAGATGTATGTGGAAAATGTATATATTAAGTTAACCTCTAAATATTTACAGAGGTGCTACAATTGGTTGTACAAAATAACCGAAAAAAAGCCCGTAATAACTAGATAGGAAAGTCATGTGTTGGACACATCAGATTTTTATTAATTTATTCGTATTGCACACAAATAATTTATTGGCAATGACATACTGGAAACTTAATATTGACAAAAGTTTTCTAAAATGACATCTTTCTTACAGGACTTTGTTGACTAAATACCTTCACAACTTAATACTCCTTCGATAGTTTCCTATGATTTCGGGAGATATAATTTGGGCATAGAACAATACGATTACATATTATAACTAAACATTATACTTTATTCAATGCTATACATACATAAATTGAATGTGATTATCCAAACTCTTATTGTTCTGTGTGTTCCGTTAAAGTCAAATCTAGAATATATCCAACCTGGTATTCTCATGATTTGATACTTAACATAAAATACATGAATCCTTCGAAATAACGATGAGATGCTTAATTTATATTTGCATGTGAGCAAAATAAGGAGACTCATGAGAATCGACTGCCTGTCATGACATGATTGGACAGATGTATATATTTCTACTACACTGTTAACACATGCACTGGTACTGCTTTTAGCAAACATTCACAAATTACTTTTTGCTGCATATACACTGCTTTTCAATCAGTAACTGATATATTATAATTCCCACAAAGAATGTGACAGCATTGATCCATCTAGGAAAAGTAGCAGCACAAGATGCAGAGATAATGTATCCAGTTTTTTCTAGTAAAATCTGAAAAATAAGTAATATTTTTTACTTTAGTGTCAAAATGAGGTAGGTAAATGTCTAGATTGAGCTCTTTACATTATTAATAAGAACACAAATATTTTTTTAAATAGAAATATGCCATTTTCTTCAATTAATATAATTTTTACGGGAAAGGAAGTTAATAGGGGTTCTGGGTGGGTAAAACACTGTAAATCTTAAAATATTGTTAGAATTAGAAATGAATTGCCTTACTTTTGATAATAAATGATTATTGCATAGTACCTACCTAATCTCTGAGCTATGATTTGAGACAATTGTGCAATATTTTTATTTAAAAAAATTAATTGTTATTATTAATTTGCACAAGATATAGAACTAAGATTTTTTTTGTTTACAGTGATACCTACAAGTAGGTATGCTCAGTTTTTTCATGAGCGAAAAGAGCTTAAACTAGACTATTAATCAAAATGATAAAATAGGTAGGTACTTTACCTCAACAAGCTGCATTTTTAACATGATGGATTTTCACAATTTCTAATCATTTTGTTGTTGTTGTTGTTCCCAAAAAAGGTATTACTGCCAGCAGACAAATTTTGATGGCATTTTACGAAATGTATAATCTGAAAATGATGATGGTATAAAAACAAAACAATAACATAACCTCAAAATAGGAATTATAGTTAATAAAACGCTTACCATGAATATTATTTGCGAATAACTAAATGCTGCGTTTGAGAATCCACATCGGATGCATTTTTTACATCTCGAGCGTTTTTTTATTCACATCGGACACATCTGTCCCATTACATTTACGTATACTGAATCACGTGATCAAAGATTTTTTACATCTCAGATGCATCCGATGTGGATTCTCAAACGCGGCGATAAACAATGAAATTTATTGAAGAAAAATACGTGTTTGGTAAATTGTGCTGAATAATTGAATAAGTACAAGACCGTGTTTTGACATGATACGTCAAGTGGGCGTTTCGTACATTTATATGTACGAGGAATGTTTCTTATATTATAGTATTATGAGTTTTGTTTATTAGTGAAATAATTGTTAATTAAATGTTTATAATAGTATTTTTGGGAGTTATTAGGTTTAATTTAGGGCTTAAGTTTATTTTGATGCGGAACAGTAGTGTTTTTATATTTATATTTGTGCTTATGTACTTACAGTTTAATATATTATGTAGTCCTGGTTAACAACAAGCAGGGTTCATCCTTACCGTCCGCAGACGAGTGCTTAGTCGAGTTTCATACAAATACGATAGTGATTTGAGAGACCATTGGGGGTTGGCTTTATACTAGAGCTAGATAGAAATACCCAAAGAGCTTGAAATATATAGAGGTAGCATGAGAGAGATGGACTTATGGGAAACCTGTATAAAGCTAGTGTGCTCAACATTAATGACAACGACCTGGGTTTGTTTTGAAATTAGGGACTCCTCACAGTAGCGTCGAAATCCCAGTGGCGTAGTTATATTTTTTTAAGTAAAATGAATTCAAATTAATTATATTTCAATAGTGAAATCGAATGAGTTATAATTAACAAAAAATTTGAACGTAGGGTGTTTTTAATCAAGGGGGGTTTTGTTGCATGTAAATATAAATTATTTCATATTTAATTTATATTAAAATGGGTGATAAAATCCGATTAGTTTTTTGGGAGAAATTGAAACTTAGGAAGGGTCTTATTAAAGGGAGTTTTGTCAGGTCTAGGATCATCACATTTTAAATAATAAAGAAAAGTCAACAACAAGATTATATTATTTTAATTTTATATAAATATAAACAAGTTTTTTACTTTTTTATGGCCTCGGCACTGCCAATTGGACAGACTGAATTAACAAGCTAAAAAATTTAAATATTTTAAAAACATATTATTGATTTTGAAAAATTATTGCTTTGGTTAACTGATGTCTAACCCTGGATTTGATGGATTTTCTGACATTGTTTTGCATTCATGATTAATTCTTATGGTCACATATTTTTTTAGAATCAATCTAATTAACTGGATGGCGTGACCATCTACAACATCATCATCCAAAACGTGATTTCCAAAATCATATATATATCTTCAGGTAATTTGCTAATGCATTTTGAAACAAAAAGATTTAACACATTGTCAACATTTTTATTTTTAAATATATTTAACTCTTTGCCCTC